ATACCAATCACCTAATGACCAGTGAAATCAGGGTGAAACAGGTTTGCAATTTCATACTCTATGAACTTCAAATGATTAACTCATCAGTTTATTTCCTGAATTCACAACAAGTCTCAAGGCACTTTACAAAAACAAAAAATGTACTCGTTCCAACTGAACAAATCTTAACATATGAGCCCTCAGTTGGTTTTAAAAGCTGTATAGGATGAAAGAGAGCAGATACAGTTATTTGCAACAAACGCTCATCCAATAGCAAGAGACACTGTTAAAAAGACAGAGGCAAGTGCATGGAAGGAAAATGTTAAGTTGATAGTAGCGATAGATCATCCAATGCTCCCCTCCTCCAGGTACACCAAACTTGATATAGCTTCTATAAGGAGTAAACGACACACAGAATAAAGGTAAAAGTTGAAATAACAAATGGCAAACAATTGGAGAATAAGATAATTTTCCAGAACAAGGAGAAAGTTATCCTCCGGCAGCCAAAACCCATAGCAGCAGAACTACAGAGATAGCTCAGTAGTCAATCATCAGTCACCCCTCCATGGTTATTGTCCTTTGTTGCAGTAGATTTTTATTTTCTGGAGAAAATTATCTGTAAAATATGTTATTCTAAATCATGATAAATACACCAGAGAATGTTTCAACATAGAAGAAAAAAATAATTAAAGACCGTCTTAGGACAGGGAAATAAATATTTACTTTATTCTTTTATAGATACATGAATTATACATGGAACATGATTTCATTATTTCCTGTTTGCTTTTGACGGGGGGAATAATTGATTCTGGTCCTTACCGCTGGGTGGCGGTAGTGCGCACTTATGTCCACCCTAAAACGAGAATAAGAACCACAACAACGGAAATGAGTTGTCATAAGCCGGAAGAGAGTTGGATTAGCAAACCAGAGAATCTCAAAAACTGACACCAGTGGGTCTTAATGCTTGGATGAAAGCTTGACAGAGCCACATTTAACAGCAGATATCTCCGTTTGCCTGGTAAGAAACATTTTAAAAACTCGATTTTTGTTTTGTAGTCTGCTAAATCTGCATAGCTTTCGAGTTTCAGTTTACTAGCTAGCTTTTTAAGCAACTTCTTTAGCTTTTTCGTTCATCTCTGAAGCTATACATTTGTGAATCATCTAACTTATTTACAGAGCTGTCATCTTCAAATTTGATTAATTTACGCAGGGATGTTGCGTTTCACCTTTCATGACTTCTCTAACAGTGTAGCTTTAGCAAAATATTGCTAATCCGGACTTTGTTGCATTTTATCCAGCATAGATGCTGTAAAATGTATTCAGTTTTTTACTTAATGCAATATTGTATTTCTATAATCCACATTAGTACCTGAAAGAGAATATAGCATAAAACTAAACTAAAAAGTAGATATAACAACAAAGTGGAGTTGGGGGCGGGGGTTTAATGGCTGACTGGAAAGTATACAAAATAACGTTTAATGTAATAAATGAGTCTCCTGATAGTGCGACTAAAAAAAGTTAAAAGACATTAAATACGACTATTAATAAATACTTTACTCTGGCGCAGATGTATGCAACTCCAATCCTCTGCAACTTGGGTCCTTCTCTTTCCCAACGCACCTCCAGTCAAACAGCTGACTTCCCTTTTGGTAATGAGGCATTAATTTGATTCAGGTGTGTTGGAGAAGGTCGCAGGATGGTAGCTCTCGAGGATCAAATTTTTTAAATCCCGTAGGAACGCTTGTCTTTTCCAGACTGATTTCCTACAAAATATGGGATTTGAATTAGTATTCCCAGATTTTATCTCAATTGTTAAAGTTGTTTCCATCAATTTGTCAAATTTTTACCCCACTCTTTTATTATTTTACATATTTAGTTTCAAGTTCCAAGTTTAAAGTCTAACGTGTACAAATATTTGCTACGAGGTAATAAATTGAAGGACATATTTACCTGTGATGATGTGTAAAAAGTATTTTAATCATAGGTTTGAAAGTACTGCCTAGTAGTGCTCACCAGTCAAGATTTCAATTGGTTCATCATTAACATATTTTGAGTCTTCAGAATACAGTGAATCACTACAGCCCATTATTGTTTAAAAAAAATTACACAACTTTTATTGGACCAGCTAATGTTTTTGTCGATGAGACTAATTAGAATTACCTTAAATGAAACTTCTGGTATAAACAAAAAAACTGGCGTCTGCTCCCTTTTACGTCTTAACAAAACATTCTTCTAAGACCACAAAAAGCAGGAAAACATGAATGTTTTGGGGCCTACTTCTTAACACACTCTAATATGACTGAGTTTGAGGTCGTGACATTGTCACACATTTTTTCAAATAGCGAGGAATAAACACAATGCACCTTAAATGACTGGTATGATCCCGTTAATCTCATCCATCTCTGGTTTGTGCAGAACATTTTAGCTCAACATCTCATTATAAATCAGCCGTGACGTTTTGTGATTTAGCGCAAAGATTCCGCCCTAAAGTCTCCTGATTCGCTGCTTTCACTTATCTTTGGGAGAGAAGAGAGGCAGGAATGTAAAACGAGACAAAATAAAGAGCAGCAGAAGCTTTGAATGTTTTTTACTGGACTGGAAGTGAAAACTGTTCCTGCTTGTAATCATGGCTATGAACAGAAGACATTCATTTACGCCCCGGGTGAGTAACAGGTCGTACCAGTAGCATGTTAAATAATGACTTGTTTAAGACACTGATATATTTCTTTAATTAATTGGTAATTACGAGGCTATTTTAATGTAAATGTAAAATAATCAGTGAGTTTGTTATACTCACCATTCAGGAGATGCAGGACTCATACCTGTATATTTTCGTCATCAAAGCAAAATTTCAAGTCATTGTTACCCAGTTTGTTGACTCATAACTTCTTGTAAGGATAATGCCAGTGTCTTGTGTTGGAACTTTGAAAGTAGAGGAATAATAATCCTTAAACGTTTTTTTTTTTCTTTTTCTTTTTCCCACCGGCTGCCTAAGAATCCAATCCAGCGTGAATTCACGTGTCCTGCAGTCCTTTAAAAGCTCGTCGTCTTTCTCCCAGACCTACTTTGCTGTTATAAGTGCCTCTTTGTGTGAGATGTTGCTGCTTTTTTAGGATGCTAGTCGTCACAGGACATATGACTGAGGATGTGATGCAGTCTCTGTTTTCATCACCCTCAGGACTCTTGTGAATGCAGCTGTATTTTCCTGTTCATTTGGAGATATTTTCAAGTCAAATTCATAAAATAGTTTTGTATTCGTGCTCCTAATAAAACATATTAAACATCCAGAGAAGACTGGGGTGAATATTTGGGCAAAAAAGCAATACATTCACTTGAATATAACTTCTCTGCCTGCTTTTTCTACTGTTTTTGTCCCATTTTACTTCACATTTCCATGGTTAATCAACTTTCTTCCCTTGTATTTGTAATCTTCCCCTCAGCTGACCAGCCCATTGATCAGCAAAATGAGCAGCACCGGATCAGTGGAGAGTGTTAAACCTCCAAAGGTAGGTTGCTTTTTCAGAAGCCATTAAGGAAAGCAAATTCAGACTTCCTCAGAGATGAATTATTTCCATTATTCCTTCAGATCGGCTCCAAAGTCGAGGTGACTGGTAAGGGCCAGCAAGGCACCGTTGCCTACATCGGTGCCACCCTGTTCGCTTCGGGCAAATGGGTCGGCATCATTCTGGACGAGCCCAAAGGGAAGAACGACGGCACCGTGCAAGGGAAGCGCTACTTCAGCTGTGAGGAAAATCACGGGATATTTGTCAGGTCATCCCAGGTCAGTGATGAACCATTACTCACCACCAGGGGGAGCTCACAGGGTGTTTAGTTTTCAGATGAGGAGCACTTCATCTTGTGAAACTAAAAGGAGAATTTCAGATTAATCAGGTATTTTGCTGCTGCCCAGATGCAAACAAGAAAACTGAGCCTCTTTTCTAAAATAAACATGTAGTTCATTCTTTACATGTCCCTGTAAGCCAAAAATACCAGTTTGATAAGTTAGTGCATGACTTTTTAGCTTTTGCAAGGTTTAATACTGTAAATTTCTTATTTGAGGTCTTTAAATTTAAAATTAATAAAACTGTTGACAATTTGTCCTATGCTGCTGTCATATAGGGTGAGTTCAGGTGACATTAGAAAAGTTCTGTGCAAAAAATAAATCAGCATATTTAAATCAACAATAACAATAAGCAAAATTCATTTAGAATGAAAAAAAATTATATTTTAATAATCACTACATTTCTTTGCTCTGTTAAACTTATAATTATAAAAAGTGCAACACCAATTAGTAATTATATTTATAGTGGTTTCCTCTCTTCCTGGGCCGCTTTTACTGTCAATATCTCTAATACCTCTACATAAAAAATGATTTTCTAACACGTAATTTTATACAAATGATCTCACTTCTTTCAGCATTGTTGATCAGTCACAGTCTTTTCTACCTGGTGTTTATCTCTGTGCAGATCCAAGTCATTGATGACGGCTCCGCTGCCACCTCACCAGAAACCCCTGACGCCAGCTTGGCGAAGACGCTCAAACAAAAAGGTGAGAAACGACCACAAAAATCTCCAACGGGGATGTTTGTTAACGCCAGAAGGAATTACAAAGGTCATCGTTTGTCTTTCCAGACATTCCTGAGACTCCCAAAACATCAAAGCAGGTAAAGGAAATTCATCCACATTGTTTCTATTTTCTTTAGTTTATAGAAAGTTAAGAAATTCAAAAGCTCTTTGGAAATTCAGCTAGTTTGAGCTTGTTGAAGGTGATAAAATGACACAACATGCTGAAATGATGCAAGTTCCATATCTGAAGTTTTATCTGAGGAAAAAAAAATGTCCAAGTCGGCTGTCGGCGTTTAAATTGACTTCTCTTCGTTTTTCTCAATACTGTTTGCAGACACCAGCGAACGTTAAGAAGGTATTGATGTTTGAATTCAGCGCTTTTGCTTCGCCTCGTTTTTTCTTTGTCACACTAACGTAGTAATTAATCTCTTTCTTTTGAGCGATTCTGTCTTTGTTTTTACTTGCACGGACGTAAAAGCGTTCAACATTCTTGTTGTTCCCACCTTGGTTTTTTATATTTATATTCCAGTGGTGGCTCCTGTCCACACTAAACCTTTTTTCCTGGACGTTGCTGCATGAATTCATGTTTTCTCTGTCTGTTTTGCTTTAAATCTAGAAGGCCACCGCTCAAAGGGCACCAAATTATGCATGCAGCAACTTGTGATCAGTCTGTCTAATTTAATATGCTTTTTACCTGCTTCTAATCTTCTATTGTCCTTCATTGCTGAATGTGTGTGTGCCCGTTTCCTTGCTTGTGGGTGTGTGTGAATCCACCCTTTCCTTCAACTCTCTTCCTCCTTCCCAGTCCTCTACCCGCCGCTCAGCAAAGGTGAGCTCCTTCAAAGCAGACAGGACAGCTGAGGTTAACGATGAAGATGTGGGCTCTTTCTTTTTAGAGCAAATGTTTGCTGTAATGAACCAGGAGGTCCTACAGAAATGAACAGAAAACAGAAATTAAATGTAATCCAGATTGCATGAACATAGTTGAGTCACTTTTTAGATTTGACTGCAAGTATTTCAACATTTCTTATTTTCATCCAGATGTTTTGCTTCCAGGTGTGGAATATCAAGAAAAGTAAATGGTTAATTAAGAAGTCTGTGCTTTTCATATAATATTCCGCATTGGACAAGTGAAATTTATTACGTACCGCGGCTTCCTATCGCCTGACCATCTTGGGTTGAATTTTTAATATATTTTGCAAACTACACCATGTGGTCAAATAAACATTAACCAGATTGATCACAAAACACTCATCGGTTTAGATCTCGACAGGTTCGCCCCAGTCAACGCCGCCTTCAGTCAGCCTTTATCAGAGCAGACCGAGCGTCTGCATGGCGTAGCGCGAAATTAAGCAATTGTGATATCCGAGTACCACCGCTTTACACCGTCGCAGCGCTCCGATATAATTTTTTTTTTAAACGATATTCGTTTTTCAAAAGACCCAGCTATATGCGTATAAGGCCTGAGCCTCAGAGAAACTGATGTCAGAACATCTCTCATGTTCTAGTTTATGATTCTATCCTAAAACACTTCTTCTGCATTCAAACAATGGAATATTTTTCATATTATCTTTAGATAAGGATGGTGAGTATATTCTAACACAACAGGTTGATATTATGAATAAAGCCATATAAGGATAAGGTTTAGCTTGTAGCTAACACTCTCTACTCGTCCTCTGCTAGTGGAGCACGCCAGGTCTCTCGCCTGCTACCTCCCTCCCCTCCCTCTTGCCTCGTCCCAGCCGCCCCAGCATAAAGCTCCGGGTACGCTCTCTTTCTATCAGGCACCTGCCGTGTCGCTTCACAAGGTGGTCGGTGTGAAAACGATTGCATTTTTTTTTCTTGTCCTGCACTGGTGTTTTTTGGAGTTTGTTGGCTGCGTTTCCATTACAAATGTGCGCAAAACTTTTTCAGTATTATCCGACGGTCAAAACAACACAATTTAGCAATTGTGGCATTTCTGTAAAACAAGAAATGCAATTTAAATCACACATGAAGTCATTAAAAAAATGATTGATGTAAACACTTACATGCGATATATTAATACTTCAGCCACAGTGCTAGCACTCAGCCATCGGAGGAGACGTCAGCGTTTTATTCAGGTGTCGCTTTGGGAAAATTGTAGTTTGTGGTTTTTACAGAAGAGCTACTGATTCAACACATCTGAACTTTTGATCAACTGTGCAGTGCTGAGAGATCTCTTGTGTCCAAAGAGGCCAGTACCTACAAACAAGCACGTTGCAGCTGTTTACAAACTGGCATGATGTGAAACATATTTTCATTGCAGTTTTGCAAAATACATCAATCAAAAATCACCTCATTCTAGCGCATAATCTTTAACAAAAAAACGTGAGCTTTTTTGAAATTGCCTTGTTCTCAATCCACAAGTTTAGTTTCATAATACCAATTTGCACCATTCTATGGTCAATGGAAACGCAGCTAGTGAGTTTTCTTACAAACTTGGGAAGTGATGGTCCTTCTCCTGGTGGAATCGAGAGTAGTCTTCACTGAGTCATTCCAAGATACTCACTATAGGGAAAAGACTGTCTAAAATAGCCAATTGTCAACCTTTTCCCTTCATTACGTTCCTTAACACACCTGTTTCCATCAACAGGCGTCTCGTGAGAGCCTAGCAGCCCCTCTGCTTGGAGATGTCAGTGAGGTGAGCCTGTCCTCCCAGCAGGTGGCGCTGGCTGCCCCTGTTACACCTCTGCCAAGCAGCTCTCCTGCATCTGTGGCTCCTCAAGCTCCAGTCACTCCCAGCAAGGTGAGAAGAACCGGGTCGTGCTTCCTCGTCGCACATTTCACTAGATTTTCTTTCTCCATCCTCCTCATCGTGTTTAATTTCTGTTGCATTACATCCATGTTGCTGTTTAAGCAGGTGGAACCTGCCATTTCCAAGCAGGTAGAGTTCCTTTAAGGTTTCATGCATGCTGGCATGAGTTTTCTTCCACACTCAGAGTAACTCGGATGTCTCCAGAGCAAAACGTCTGTCGACGTCTAAGAACTCCTTGCATTTAATTGACATGATGCCACCTTCTTGTCAGTTCAGTGTGTTTGTCAGCAGCTGATTGGCAGTCGCAGTTTGTCTGGGCATGAAACTCCCCTTACCTGGAGGGACCGAACCCACCTTCACCTCCGACAAACTTCTTAAGCTTTCTCATTACAAAATAATCGAGAGAAACGTTATTAAACATTGTCAGTGTAATAATAAGAGACCATTTATAGGTCAAGTTTCTTATATTTCCAAAACCCAAACAAGGTCTGCAAAAAAGAAAGTTAAATCAATAAATACAGCTGAATACGACTGTTATTGACAGTATTACTACATGCTCATCTGTATAGAAGTAACTGGAACCATCACAGCATAGTGGTTAAACCAAAGATTATTGCATCAAGCTGGTTCCAAAACAATAATTGTGAGCTCTGGCTACAAATTAGTACAGTTTCTTTGTAATGTAGTAAGTTTTCAGGCATGTGGTACAAATATTCAGGGAATCCAGACAATGTAATGTCTGGATTCCTAAAGCCCAGGAAAGTTATCGCCGACTACATTTGTCTGCTGCACGTTCCACAAATTGCGTTGGCAAAAGATGCCTGAGTGCGACAGACGGACTGCTGAGAGACTTTGATATCGTACCATGTTGTTTAACAAACAAAAACGAAAAAAACAAATATTAACAGCCACCAGGGAGCAGAAAACCAAAGGGAAAGTAAAACAAGTACAGAGAATTCCCCAAATGTCTCGGGTAAACCTTCACACAACCTTCACCATGATGACCTTGCTTGTTCATCGGAGGTTGAGCGATCTCGCTGTGGCGTCATGTCAGATGTGAGCATGTATTGTTCTACTTTCAAGGACAAACCATCCACACATTCCTCATTGCATTGTGTTGTTTTGAGAAGAGGGGATCTTCAAGGGTTGAACGACTCACTGGGGTTTTTTCATGGTGGGACCTAATAAGTCTCTTGCCGTTATCCAGTTTCAGTCCTAAAGTGACGAAATTTTGTTTCTTACTCAGGAGGAAGACTCGCTGCGAGTTCTCGTAAAGGATCTGGAGGAGAAGCTGGAGACTCTGAAGATAAAACGAACGGAGGACAAGGCCAAGCTGAAGGAGCTGGAGAAGTACAAGATCCAGCTGGAGCAGCTGCAGGAGTGGAAGACCAAGATCCAGGAGCAGCAGGCAGACCTGCAGAAGCAGCTCAAGGAGGCCAAAAAGGTGTTTTATCGACTCATTTCACCTCATAACATTATCTAAAAAGAATTCACACCATTTTCAGATTTGGTCACGTCTCCGCCAATTTATGTTGGACTTTCTTGTAGGGATGAATCATTTCATCATAGTTCTGGATGCATTTTTAGAGTCACTCCAACATATTGGTCTCAGTTCTTCCTGCCCAAATCGTCACCATTTTGTGTTAGTCTTCATTAGAGAAAACCTCAATATGACACACTGAGGTCTGATATTTCACGTTTCAAACCACTGTTATTAACGATGTTACTTTGTAATGAACGAAATAACTGAAGCGCAGTTTGTTTTTACCTTGTGGCTTCGTAGGAAGCCCGGGAGGCGCAGGAGGCCAAAGACCGCTACATGGAGGAGATGGCAGACACGGCGGACGCCATCGAGATGGCAACGCTGGACAAAGAGATGGCCGAAGAGCGAGCGGAGTCGCTGCAAGTGGAGGTGGACTCGCTGAAGGAGAGAGTAGAGGAGCTCTCCATGGACCTGGAGATCCTCAGGCATGAGATCTCAGAGAAAGGTAGGAGAGGAGCTGCGTTAAATGACGTTGAGCCTCAGAGTGACTCTGATTTAACTCTGTATCCTTAATAGGTACAGATGGAGCCGCCTCCAGTTATCAAGTCAAACAGCTGGAGGAGCAGAACAGCAGGCTGAAGGAAGCCTTGGTCAGGTAATAACCTATAAAAAAAAAGTCTCAACAGGAGAAGTAATAATGTTTAAGTCTTTCCCGTAGAATGGATTGAGCTAAATGTTAACTGTTCTTGTTTTTACTCAGGATGCGCGACCTGTCGGCCTCGGAGAAACAGGAACACGTGAAGCTGCAGAAGCAGATGGAGAAGAAGAACACGGAGCTGGAGACTCTGAGGACTCAGAAGGAAAAACTGCAGGAAGAACTCAAACAGGCCGAAGCCACAGTGGATGAACTGAAGGAGCAGGTGGAGCAGCGTCTGCCTTTAGAGAGCGGATGACATCTGTGTCAAGTGGAAATGTGCGATTGTGTTTGTGCAAACATTCCCCAGGTGGACGCTGCCCTGGGGTCAGAGGAGATGGTGGAGACGCTGACTGAGAGGAACCTGGACCTGGAGGAGAAAGTCAGGGAGATGAGGGAGACGGTCACCGATCTGGTCAGTTCTGCTGTTTGTTTTTAAAATGTTCACAAATTATGGTTTTGTTTTTACACTCAGGGAATGAAAGTAAAACCTTTCACTGTCTAAAATCCATAGAAAATGAAAATGCCTTTAAAATATATTTAAAAATGTTAATCAACGTGTAATTAATTTGAATTTTAAAATTTAATCTGAGACAAAAAAAAAGGCATTTTTAGTCTTATCTAAGTCTCTTATTGGTGGAAAAGTTGCACTGAAATGTGTTTGGGCTTTCAAAATAAAAGCCTTTTATTTTTTTGGATGATTGCAAGAGTGATTTCCACATCAGTAAAAGAACTAAACCTGTGTGAAAAGGGCTTGTTAAGCTATTTAAAACGATGCCGAGTTATTTTAAAATATATTAGCCCCCTTTTTATACAAAAAAAATAATTGCAAAAGGAAGATCCTAAATGTTAATATGCTAAAAGCTGTGATGGGAATATTTTCAGAAGACTTTAAAAATATCCTTTACATAGATTGGACTGTTACTAGAAAAGTGTTCATACCTCTTTTGAAAATCCCTAATGATGCTGACTAGTTCAGATTAAATCTGATGAGCGTTGGGTGTCATTAGGGTTTAGCTGGTGAGCCTCCAGAACGCTTTGTTTCTAGTTAATTTTCTCCCGAATCGACAGGAAGCCATCAATGAAATGAACGACGAGCTGCAGGAAAACGCCAGAGAGACGGAGATGGAGCTGAGGGAGCAGCTGGACCTGAGCACTGCGAAGGTTCGAGAGGCAGAGAAGAAGGTGGAGGCTGCTCAGGAGACCGTGGCCGACTACCAGCACACCATCAGCAAATACAGAGAGCTCACCGCCTCGCTTCAGGTGGGTGGAAACGGAGGGACTCCTCACGGTGTGCGGTGGCGTGAAACGATGAATTAAGGGTGAGTTGTCGTTTTAGGAAGCCAACAGGGAGCTGATCAGTCAGCAAAGTGCAAACACAGAGCAAACCCAGCAGCCGTCTGCTGAGCTGTTCGACTTCAAGATCAAGTTTGCTGAGACCAAAGCCTATGCGAAGGTTTGAGATCAGATTAATTAATTAATCAGAGATTATCTGTGATGTTGGCTCACATTCTGATCTAAAACATACTTGGGTGTGTGTGTGTGTGTGTGTTCAGGCCATTGAGATGGAGCTGAGGAAAATGGAGGTGGCTCAGGCGAACAGACAGGTTTCGCTGCTCACCTCCTTCATGCCGGACTCCTTCCTCCGTCACGGTGGAGACCATGACTGCATTCTGGTGCTGCTGCTCATCCCCAGGCTCATCTGTAAGGTACGAACCGCCACCATGTTCGCTTTGATTTGCAGCCATCTTGTTTTTTTGCCAACCTGTTTTTGTGTTCTCTCGCATTAAGGCTGAGCTGATCAGCAAACAGGCTCACGAGAAGTTTGACCTGAGCGGCGGTCTGGTCCAGGGAACGGCGCTCAGAGGACCACCAGGAGAGCAGCGCAGCTTCGCCTCAGGCCTGGTCTACTCCCTCGGCCTGCTGCAGGCCACCCTGCACAAATACGAGCAGTAAGCGCATAGATGCATCTAACAAATGTAATCAAAAGCTTGTTCGAGACCAGATGCACTGTATAAAAACAAAACAAAAAAATCTTACCAAGTATTTTGGGCAGTGAAAGCAGAATGAGCCGCAACAAAGCAACATTCTCCAAAACCTCAAACTCATTAGCTTCAGAGGTCTCTGTTCTTTTCTATTCACCGGTTTTTCTTGGTTTCTAGAGCTCTGAACTCCTGCAGCGTGGAGGTTTTCAAACGAATGGGAACGCTTTACAGTGAAATGAGCTTCCATGAGCGCTCGCTGGATTACTTCATTGACTTGCTGCATAAAGATCAACTGGACGAGACGGTTCAGGTGGAACCCCTTACGAAGGCCATCAAATACTACCAGGTAGGAGCGAGTCGAACAACAAACCATGTTTAAAGATTCACGATTTGCATCATCCTTGATTTGCACTTTAGAGCCGCACAAAAATCAGTCCATGAACCGGAAATGTTCCCTGGGCCACACTTTGGACATCCCTTCTCTTAAACTGTTATGCATCTGTAAATGGGTTATTTTATTTAATAAAGTAAGGCGTAGAAATTGTCATCCAAGTGGAATCATATCAGTACTAAACATATTTTACGCGTTTCGTCTCCTAGCAACTGTACAGCGTCCATTTGGCAGATCAGGATGAGGACTGCACCGTGCAGCTGGCGGATCACATTAAGG